AGTATATATATATATATATATATATATATATATATATATATATATATATATATATATATATATATATATATATATATATATATATATATATATATATATATATATATATATATATATATATATATATATATATATGTATGTATATATATATATATATATATATATATATATATATATATATATATATATATATATATATATATATATATATATATATATATATATATATATATATATATATATATATATATATATATATATATATATATATATATATATATATATATATATATATATATATATATATATATATATATATATATATATATATATATATATATATATATATATATATATATATATATATATATATATATATATATATATATATATATATATATATATATATATATATATATATATATATATATATATATATATATATATATATATATATATATATATATATATATATATATATATATATATATATATATAAAGGAATATATGTTGAAAGTGAGAGTACAACGTATATGCTTTTAGGTGAGGATTTGTCGAAAGTTAGTGTTCGATTTTCCGGTTAAAGACATTTTAGAAATGCCTATAATATATGATTAAGTACATATGCTTCTTAATTATATTTCTCCCGTTAGATTAGCATTTGATGAACGCGATGGTTTCTTCGATCGATAAAAGCTGCTGGTCCGAAACACGAACATATCTACGAAGCAAAATAGTTTACGTCAAATGAAATTATACCCTTATTTCATGCACATGCGCAGCTCGTAATTGTAATTAGTAAATTGATCCTATCGATCATTCTTAAGAGAAGTATAATAAAGTTGAAAATTTTAGCGACAAAACTCGAGAAAACGAGCTAGTTGATTGTAATGTAAAGCTACCATCTCATAAAATCAAGTGCGGTCGATCTCAAATACTTTCATAAATCACCGGATTTTTTTATTTTATTTTTACGATTAATTTAATTTGAAAATTGACAGTTCATGGGTGAGCTACTATTTAACAAAAAATCAGACACACAACCTCTGCAGATTGCGTGAATATTTTGAATCATAAGTTTACAAAAAAGTATGAAGATTTTGACATTTGCAAAATAAATAGTACAAATATTAATTGTGCAACAATAAGTTGCAGTTGCAGTTGCAGGACCATTTACCGGGTGCCTTCGTATAAAGGGCAAGCTACATTTTCACAATACAACAGTTTAACCTCTATAAATTAATAGACACGATCGCTGACAAAATTTATAAAAATAGCATAATATATTAAATATTCGACGAGTGAATGATTATTTATAATAAATTGATAAAACAGCACCATAAAGTTATCGCTTAGTTAATAAGACTTTAAAGACGACGAGATTCAATCAAGATTACATAGATAGCACTGCGTTCTCTTACTCTATCAACTAAGTCGTCACCATTTACTGATGACTAGTACTTGAGGGTTACGAGTTGTGACTACGGAAGAAATATTGACAAGACAAGTCGAATAAAATATATAATGTTGTAATAATAACAGAAAAACGATGCATGATAGTTTCGCCACACTCGTCGATAATTATTTACTTTTGAGAGTGTGTCGTTTTCGTCCAACTTTTTCGACACCAAACTTTATAAATATGACAATTGACAAATCAATGGAGAAAAACAAGTGACCACAACAAACAACTGTGTGTGTGCTTATGTAATAAAAACAAAAGTCATTTTCAAGACTTATGGCTGAGTGAAGAGACTGATTTCTCAGGTCACCTTAGGAACGATTTCGAACCTCTTATTACTTACTAGGGGTGGAAAATTCGATTTCCGTTGCTTCAGATCTGAATTTTTCTCACTATCAACGATATTTTGCACCCGGAATTCCGGATATCTTACTTTTTTTTTTGGATTGGAACGGAATGTATATGAGGTTTCGATTTCTTATCAGATTTTAATCTTTGAAAATAATTCCGGCCGACATTAAAAAAAAATTCCCATATCAAAGTTATTATGTATTTCATATAGTCCGCTAAAAATTGGAATATTTTGGAATAAGTTTTTCCATTCTAATTTCCGAAACTCTATTTTTTTATTTTTTTAGAACTTAATTGGGAACTAGTTCGAGGCTTCGATTTCCGATCAGATTTTAATAATCTTCGAAAATAATTCCGGACATTCCAAAACAATTCCCACATCAAAGTTATAATGTATTTCACATAGTCCACTAAAAATTGGAATATTTCGAATTCCGCTCATTCCTGAAAATTTCAGATTTTGCAGTAAGTTTTTCCATTCTATCCAATTTTTAATTTTTTTAGAACTTAATTGGGAACTAATTCGCTTCCGGAAAAAAAAATCGAAAATTGTGCACAAGTCCTAATTCCAATCACCCTATTACTTACCATCTAATTGTTGTTCCCGATACATAAAAGGGGTAGTGAATTTAGTAAATTGGTTGAACAAATTAATTAATTGTTAGAAATCTGCTATGAACGAGAATTTTGCCGAGGCGAGTTGTCTCTGTCCTTAAGACGAAATTTCCCCGCAACGGTGCTAACGGATTAAATGGAAATCGTCTCCCAAGATACAACGGCAAAACTTGGAATAGGAGCACTCCAAATCCCAAGTACGACGAACTGTACTTTGTGTAGAACTTTTCGAGAGAATCTGTGAAGGGTAGGCTTAATATGTAGTAGGCTTGTTTTGGATTGAAGTGAGGAATTTTGGGAAAGTTAGGGTCTATTTATAAGGTTCGAAAAGTAGTGTCCTTTGGAGCAAAAATGTACCTTTTGTTTTGAATGGTTGCACCATTTCGAGTTGAGCCAATTGGGAGTGGTTGCACCATTTCGAGTTGAGCCGAATGGTTTGCATTGGTTCGGCCGCACCAATTCAGACCAATCAGACCAATCGAGATGGGCTTCGAGTAATAAGGGCCCAATGGGTTAAAAACCCATGACCTAATGTTTTTGGCCCGTCCCAATATTTTGATATATATACAGATCAGTACTTCTCTACTTTTCCAATGTGGGATAACTCAAATCCCACTTTCCTTATATTTTGGACTAGTATTTTTTTCATTCACCACAAAATTGGTTCTAATCCAAAATTCATTTATATACTCAATTAGACCGTACAATAACATTGATAAAAAATTGTTCATGACTCAATTTTTAACCAATTTTCCCAACAATCCCCCACATGAATGAAAACAAGGGCGTCGATTCTCTCTAGAGTTCCTGCGAATAGTATTGCATCGGGATAGGTAGCATATAGCTTTGAACCTTCCGTAGTGGAGTTACATCGGATTTACTAGGCTGAGTAGTGAACGCGATGTCTTGAACTGTCAGCCGTTCGTGTAAACCAAGACAATGCAACCCACACAATACTATTCTCACATTTCCTTAGTTCTCATGATTGTGTCCGTTTTGGCCATGGACACACATCTTGGATTCATAAGTGTTTGTCAAGTTTTTTTTGAAGCGGCCCTCACTTCATACACTTACATAGGTGATCTCCTATTAAAGGTATCCTGCCAATACCTCACCTTTTGTTATAAGGTTTTGGAATCATTAAAAGCTTTCGCTTATCCTTTACCCTCTCTGCAGGCAGCACTAATGTCTATCACGGGAATGAGTTGGAAATATATTATTCCATAGGAATATATACTCCTTAGTGCATTACTGAACTTTCTTAGCTTAGTTGTCCCTTTTGAACCAGTTCTTGGGATCTCCAGTCAGCATGGTTGGGTTACCACCAAGATTGTCCTTAATTTATGGGTTTTAATCTCACTCCCCTAGACAGGCAATATGTTTGATCTCTTTAGTTGACTTTTAGTCACGGATCCGCTATTAACCATTGATTTTCATAATCAATGTTCTATTATTTCTTTTGAGATCAATTGCCTAATGGTCTTATGTGTACGAGTGTATCGATACTTGCCATTATACATGTCGTTTGTGCTTCATTATGCTGCCAAACTATCCAAAAATATTTGTAATTGAACCATTGTTCATCATTATTTTTGGCAAGGTAAACCCTTGGTCTTTAGATAACTAGATCAATTTTCTAGTAGTGTCTCAACATGAGACTTTCAATAAGACTATCTTTGTCTTAGTGATTTTAATCTGTAAGATTACATCGTCTAGACCCTCGTCTTTTGACATCAAAATTTTATTTTTACTTTTCCAATATTTTCTCAACGTTCAAAATAGTATCATGATCACTATCTCATGATTATAATGTCGTCTATAGACATATACTTCCATGTGCTTTTAATATAAACACACTGGCCACACTCGTTATTACTAACACAATTTTATCAAATATTACTTTAGAATATTTCCATAGCTATTTAATTTAGCTTGATATTACAATGTTATAAATAATCAAGATTTTTCCATAGCTATATAATTTAGCTTTATTGGACCACCCTTAATCATTCCTTTGAATAGTCCATCGAAACCTTAATGGTTTACTACTTGGAAGAAGACAAACTAACTTCCACGTACATTCTTCCAATGTAGACAATATTTCAATAATTGTCCTTTGTTCATTTTATAACTCATAAATTATAAAATCAAATCAAAATCAAACATATTGATTTTCTTTGTCATCTTGTTGTATCTTGGTTGTTCATCACTTTGATGATTTACCAATCACACATATTTTAACTTGGTTATTCATCACTTTGATGATTTACCACTTAGACATTTATTAGTTCTCTTATTTAGAACTTATTTATTTTCTTATTTTACAAGAAAAATATAATGTAATTTGCATCAAGAATGACTATCTTATGCACAATCATTATTTGCATATTCAATGAATATGCTTAAGTATTTTATCCACTTAACTATACTAGGCATTGTATATTAACTTAGGTACTTTTTTACCTTTGCCTAAACACCCCCACATTTCTAAATATTTATGTGGTTAGCTCGGGATAAAGACCCCCACATTTCTAAATATTAATGTGGTTAGCTCGAGATATCTAATTTCCACCACAAATTCTAGAGTATATATTCTAGAATTTATCAATATAATATCCATAAACTTTTTCCAAAAGTTTTGGTTCTCATTTTTCATTCATTTGTCAAAGTTGGCACTTTCCAACTTTCATTCACATAACATTTAAATGCTTTGAAATCCTTATTTTTATTTTATTAATAAGGATACAATGTAACAAAATACATTTCTTCTTTAGTTAGAAAAATATTTTGGATCACCAATAAGATTTAATTACAAAGTATTGTTTTTCTTTCTCTCAAGAAAGCACAACAAGAAAAATCTTCTCAAGATACTTAAATCTTGTCAACAATTAAGATAATCAGATTTCTTCTTTTTCCTCAAAAGAGAAACTCGTCAAGATACTTAAATCTTGTCAATAAACAAGAGAATATTAATCTCTTCAAATGGTGGTTGATCTCCACTATTCAACATTAAAGTTAGAATATATAAATTCTAATCTTAATCATTCATAATTTAGGATTGCATGTCCTAAACATGCTGTTCAAAATTCAGTCAAATCCCACGATTTAATTCTACAAAACGAGCTCTTAAGTAAACTGCTCGAATTTTATTTCAACAAAACATCCATTGTTGTTAACAACTATTTCGGATCTTTGAAAAATCAAAATCCGATCTCATCCATTCACATTGTAGATCATTATTTTGCAAATGTGATATCAAATCAAATCAAACCAACGATTCGATCTTCTTTTATGTTCTTGAGACAAGAACTACTCATGTGTTATCATGAATTGAGCTTCTCTTTCTTTCAATTTTATTTCATATCATGCTTTTAATTAAACCGTAGTATGATTCATATGTACATCAATATTATAATAAACATAATATTTGACATGTGAGCACGTCTTTCATACTAGTTGATCATAGAAAGAAACAATATATCAAGCATATTATATCAACATATACATAGTATACGCACGAGTATATAATAACATCAAATTTGAACATAATATTTCATGGCATAAATAAATTCATGTCCAATATAATGAATCGATAAAAATTCTATAGCACGTAATCAATGCATGTCAATGCAATAACACAATTCTAAGGAATTAGTATGGCTTACGCAAAAAATAATATGTATAATAATATTCCTCTTACTAAGTAACTCATACTTAATATATGAGACAAGTCTAATCGATCATGACAATAATAAAAACGTTAATAAGATCACGTACTCACATATTCGAAAATCAATCAACCGGACAGTTCCACATCAAATTGGGAGAAAGTTAATCCCATATCAAACTATAAGCAATTTATGCAAATAAATATTGCATTTCCATGAGAAATGTCATTAGTATAGCACTTATCATGCGGTTTATGATAAACTTATTCAAATAATTAGCACATACGCTATCACTTTATTTTATTTAGGATAAAAATATTTCTATTATTAATGTACATACACAAACATCGTGAATATTCATTAAGCATATATATTGTATATGGTTTACCATGCTTCCACATAGAAAATTAAACTATCATGCAATAATCCACCATTATATCATATAGCATTATCAATATATTTCACAAATAGATTCTTATAATTAAAAAGCGTACCCGATAAATTATATGTTCGTCAATTCAAAATTTGTGGGTAGCACCAAATCGTGTCAATATTATGGCAGTGCTGAATGATTTATTCATATCTCTTCCATCCCAAGTCCGATTTTGTTGATTCAATATGATCCGAACAGCCAACAAACTTTTCTACAACTTTTATCTTTTATGTTTTCTGAGATTCGGACCGAATCATGATCAAAATAAGCCTCGAAGTCGGAATAGGTGTGCTGTAAATTTGCACCTACAATGGAACCAGAAAAAAAAATATTAAATAATATTCATAAATCAAAAATAATATAAAACCTCATTATTGATCTTAGATTCAGTTTTCTTTCACCAAAATTTCGTGCATTGGACATTGGTGATGCGTTAATATGCGACGAGTTGCATTGGTCACGAACGGTTTGTATTTTTCATGAAAAGGTGCATTGGCAGTTCTGCCACCCTTTCGTGTTTTCATCATAACTTCCTCGTACGATCTCCGATTGTGACGATCTAACATGTTCTGGAAAGCTAACTTGATTATCTACAACTTCTGTGAAATGTTAATTTGCCATATTCGGACTTTAACACCTTCGAAAATGGGAAAGAATGTGGACTTCATGTTCTGTCCGAAAATAAACTTTCTCCAATTGTATTTTGTAACTTCTTGATTTTTGGCAGACTATCTTCTTCTCCATCTCGTTTACCAAAGTGTGCAGAAAACACAATTTACTAAATCAAAAAGAAATTTCGTCTTAAGATTGTTGTTCCCGATACATAAAAGGGGTAGTGAATTTAGTAAATTGGTTGAACAAATTAATTAATTGTTAGAAATCTGCTATGAACGAGAATTTTGCCGAGGCGAGTTGTCTCTGTCCTTAAGACGAAATTTCCCCGCAACGGTGCTAACGGATTAAATGGAAATCGTCTCCCAAGATACAACGGCAAAACTTGGAATAGGAGCACTCCAAATCCCAAGTACGACGAACTGTACTTTGTGTAGAACTTTTCGAGAGAATCTGTGAAGGGTAGGCTTAATATGTAGTAGGCTTGTTTTGGATTGAAGTGAGGAATTTTGGGAAAGTTAGGGTCTATTTATAAGGTTCGAAAAGTAGTGTCCTTTGGAGCAAAAATGTACCTTTTGTTTTGAATGGTTGCACCATGTTGAGCCAATTGGGAGTGGTTGCACCATTTCGAGTTGAGCCGAATGGTTTGCATTGGTTCGGCCGCACCAATTCAGACCAATCAGACCAATCGAGATGGGCTTCGAGTAATAAGGGCCCAATGGGTTAAAAACCCCATGACCTAATGTTTTTGGCCCGTCCCAATATTTTGATATATATACATATCAGTACTTCTCTACTTTTCCAATGTGGG